TCCTTTTTGCAGTTTTCGTCATTCCAATGTGTCCTATACAACTCAACGCAGTCCTCGCCATCCTGATCATCTGGTTCCATTGGATACCAGTTACTGTACACTGAGGCATTATAGGGTGTACCATCACTCCAAACAAATTGGCTTTCATTGCGTCGATCATTTAGAGCCCAATCCAGTAATGCTGACTCCAGAATTTTGAAGATTTAGTATATAATAAACGAAGCTCATTTCTGATTGGTTTGCTATACTAACAAGGTCTCCACCGTAACCAAGGCAATCTCTGCGAGCATTTTCCCAGTTGAGACCTTGCATTGACGAAGGCTGGATAACAAACTTGTAACAAGAACTGCCATATCCATCCCAGCCACTTGGGCAATCTGAGGCTTGGGATACAAATTTGAAAACAAAACTCAATTTAATTTTTGGGATATCAGTACATGTATGGAGGACAGCACCTTCCAACGTTCCTGTATCAACATTCAAATTTATCAGCAAAGGAAGAGCTGGATATAACAATGTAGCAATTGAACTTCGTGTGACTGTCATGCAATTTTAGTCTGAAATCATACCCGTGATTTCAAATCGAGCCGTCTCGTTCGAATATGAAATCACACCGTCCTACGAGAAACGCCGATTTCCAAAAAGACTTGGAATCCGGCATTTAACAATAATTATGGGTTAGGGGAACAGGAAAACCTTGTTTCCTTACTTTTCCAAAAAAGGAAGACCCTGTCAAAGTATCATTTTCAAGTCGTTATGAAAACAATTCTTAAAATAAGCCTTTGACTAATTTCTAGATTTATTAAGAATATATTTTTTTTTTCATACACAATAATTATTTGAGATTTGATATTTGATTTGATTGATATTACGTCTGTTTCAGTTGCAATTATAGAATGTTATTATAATCTACACCACACTAATTCACATCTTGAAGATGTTATAAAGTTCACGTAGCTATGGGAATTTTATCAATGAGCTATACACATTGGTACAAAAACTGCAATGAAAAAGAGTAATGAAGTGAAAACAACAATAATTAAATGAATAGATTGGCTTGTATTTAGTTGTCAGGCAGATACACCACTTTTTCCTCTAGCATCAGAAAGGTTAAATAATTCTGCGCTACAGACGCATTCTTCGAAAAGTTTTGAAGTTTTACACTTTTATCACACAGCAAATTTTCAACAATCGGGCTCAGATTTTTAGTGACTCCCAGTTAATCATGCCATACCCTTGATCGCAGCTCAGTCAAAGATTAACAGTTCTAAGCACTTAATTGATATTTACTAATAAGAAAAATATTGTATATCTATGGGCCACTCTATTCAAGTCAATAAATATATACTGAAGAAAAGTACACAAAATAATTGACTCACCAGTTGTGACCGGTGGGGTCACAGGAATCACGTGTTTAGGAGGTCCTAACAAAAAAGTAAAATGTACATTGTGGAAAGAAAAGAAAATTTAGCACTATTACATTTCTAAGTTGTCATGTAGGTCGCTCTTCCACCAGTTCCCCGCCTCCTCCTATAGTAACTCCCACATTATTTAGCTACAGCGTCTTAAGCCAAACCTTCAGTATAGGTTTTCATACTCATGTGATGGTACTCTCCTTAAAGCAAATGCTTTGGCCGTTAAGTCACGCAAAACTCCCGATCCCCATGTGGTGGCTTCAAAGCGACATATGTTCCTTTCTTGAAATATACCAACCACAGTCCTGCTGTCATCTCCATGTAAACTAACTTTGAAATCATTCTGACCTAAAATACATTTTAACCTACAGCATCTACAAGGAACCACTGTACTCAAGTCCACGATGCCACACTGTGATTGATATATAGAATTACCCTTGGGTTTTTCGCAGATATAGCAGCCATTGTCTTTGCAACCATTGTCATTCCAACGTGTTCTATACAACTCAACGCAGTCTTCACCAGAGCGATCATTTGGTTCTCCTGGATGCCAGTTACTATACACTGAGGCATTATAGGGTGTACCATCACTCCAAACAAATTGGCTTTCATTGGGTCGATCATTGAGCCCAATCCAGTAATGCTGATTCCAAACCTTTGAAAAATTGTTATAAACAAAGCTCATTTCTAATTGGTCTGCTATAGTAACAAGGTCTCCACAAGAACCAAGGCAATCTCTGCGAGCACTTTCCCAGTTGAGGCCTCGCATTGACGAGGACTGGATGATAAACTTGTAACAGGAGCTGCCCTATCCATCCCAGCCACTGGGACAATTATCTAAGGCCTGGGATACAAATTTAAAAACACAACTCAGTTTACTTTAAGTCAAAAGAGATGGATATAAGTACATGTATGGAGAACAGCACCTCACATCGTTCTCCTAGCAACTTTCAAATTTTTCACCAAAAGAGGAGCTAGGAAACTGAGGTCTTGGATGTTATTGGTTGCACTGGTGCAAAGAAAAGTAATTTTGGCCTAGTCTTCAGGCAACCTATAATGTACATGTACTTACAATGTGTCAAGGTGGCTTACTACAGTTTTGATGGATTATAACAGCCCAACTTCTAACTCTATTGAAAAATGTTCCAAGATGTTTTTCCTTTGTCTACTTACTGTTTACTTAAGTTTTTTACCACTCTATGTGAAACTTGAACAATTGAACGTCAACAAATGACCAAAATGAACGACCGAGTACCTAAGGGGAGACTGGGCGCTAGTAGGTTAAATCACGTTTTTCTCAAAATCTACCCGTATGACCCCACCTCAAAATTTTAGGAATAAGAAATTGGCTTTGATTTAACATTCATGCAAAGTAAAATAAGACAGATTTTTCGCAAACTAAGAAAATGTGAAATCAAAACTAGCTCAAAATCTGTAAGACAGATTTTTAAGACTACTGTGGTAACGTCTGGCAATTGGGCAAAATAAAGCATTTTATCTCTTCCCGAAATGAATAAACATGACAGTATCAGAGGTTCGATAAGAACTTTGCTTATACTAAACAACGATTGAGCGTGGAATTGGTCGCACTGAATGCTGAATGACTCCGTGATACCCCCGTGTAACTAGCCAGAATGACTGATTCCAGGGCTACTTTTACTCCCCTCGTTGAACCATGGCTCGATTTTTGCTTCCGTTCAAAAACTCGAGTAAGTAACATGCTTGAAAGCATACACAATTACCCACACTGCACTTTGCCCGTTTTATGTCGTTTTGAGACTAGAGAAAGGCAGGAAAAAAGTACTCTTTTTCCTTTGACACAGATAAGTATGAAGTTGTTGTTATTATTGTTGTTGTTGCCATCAGCTTGTTTTGTTTAGTTCATTCAAGCCATGAACTGTTTCTTGATTAGCTTTGATTCGAGGAGCAATAGAAGCAATCAATATGTGGCCAACCATGTCAGCTCATCAATGATGCAATATCCATTTGTGCAAAAACAAGGCTATGGAGCGTTTTCACGTGACGTCATCAAATTCTTAAATCCAAAACTAAAGAGCCGCCAAAGTTTTATCCTCATCAGGCATAAGAGGTACTAAAGTTATATCTGTTTACAACTTTCCAGCTCAATAGCTCCCTTCGTTTGGAAACCAGCGCATTTTGAATTTCGAAGTTATAGCGGTGCGTGACACAAAGCTGCGATCGCGTTTGTCGAAAAATATGTATTTATCTCGTGAGACGTTGTCGTATTTGCAAAAGTGCTCATTTAAATGTTTACTCTTTCAGTGCAGATAATCATTGTCCTAGATAACCAAAGTAATCCAGATGTTAACACTATTTTCCGGCCGCCATATTGGTGTACCACAGAGGAACACCAACATGGCGGCTCCATTCTAGGCTCTGTAATTTTGCGCGGAACATTTCGACGAATATCTCAACTTTGGGACAACGCA